AAGTCACGGCACAGTCCCTCTATTACAAAAGGTGAAAAAAACATAATTTCACACAAGAAAACGTCGAGCATCAACATATTGTATACAACGAAACTTACTCTCCTTAAAAACAAAGACGTTACGAATCAACTATGGTAAAAAAATATTTGTATACGGTATTGAATATGTTCTGGAAACGTAAAAAAATAGATCACAGCACTGAACACGATGTATCTCGAAGCTATCAACAGTATAGAACCGCGCTTCGCAGAGAGCCGTTACAAGCATTAGCCCACTAATCCCGCCGATTCACACGTAAAACAATAGGCCTTTCCAGACCGGTGATAGAGGGACTGTGGTTTTTCTTTGAATTTTAACATTTTTCCTTCAAAACTGCTGGAAAATCCGACTTTTCCCGAAATTACCCGAGTTTAATCCGAGTTTTGATGACGCAAACGCAGTTCTCGTCTCGGTGGAAATCACAGTCGTTTTTGTGTGAGGATATTGTATCCCGGAATTGTAATGCTTATATGGACAAAATTGTGTCTCGTCAATTTCAAAGGTAAGAAACTGTGCTTGTTATGGTATTTATACACTTTGTATTATCGTTTGTGTCTCGGGTTTGGTGATCGTGAGAAACTTTTGTTAACCTGGCGAGAGCTTCGCCAGAAAAACTGCCTTTCTATTATTGTTGTAGGAACTGATTATGTATTGTGTAAATTGAAAGTTTACATTGTGATTTAAGAGGTTTGCAGCGCTCTCACTGGGATTCAAACGTTGTGGTGGTGTCGGCGCAATGCTGCTTTGAGACGCTTTCCAGACTCTGCCTCGCTTAAAATCATTATCGCCATGCTTGATTTCCGCAGCATTTACATTTGTTTATGATTTCCACAGCTATTGTTCTATGAGATGCGTCCTTGTTGTTCATAAACAGCCATAAACAAGTTTAGTTGGGTCGGTATGTACTCATTGAAAGTGTTGGTTTATTTACGTAATCCACTGATCACGCCATAGACGAAGTTAAAAATATGTTGCTACTCAGGAGAGCTTGCCCACAACGCTAAATGTCCCAAATAAACGTACCGGTACGTTTGTTTTTTTCCCAGAAAAATTCCACCCGGTACATTCTTATTTGGGACGGTACGTTTATTTATTTTTCTAAATCAGCCCGATTAAAAAAAAAATCATGCCTTTTCCCCCATAAAAAACGAAGCCAAAAGATCGCACTGAAACATCGGTAAATCTGGTCTTTCGTGTTGCTTTCACCATGAGGTCGCTGAACAGTCATATTTAAATGCTTTATGGTAATTTGAGCACATGGGCACCATCCAGCATTTTGATTGGTTGAT